GTGTCCTCTGCAGCGGGTGCTGTTGGTCAGCTTGTTGGGCAATTCGCAAAGTTGACAGGCTGCTATGTTGTTGGAAGTGCTGGAAGTAAAGAAAAGGTGAACTAATTACATCTTCTTATTAACATTGTCAATTTTTTATGATTTTCTTCATCTGAATAGCCATAACAATAGTTTGCTAGAAAAATAACTTAAATTTGCTTTAGAATTGCTAAACACCGGACCTGAATTTTTGAATGTAAATAGCGTAAGTCAATCAAAGTGTATTCACTTATATACGCGCAAGTCTATATAAATACCCATTGATTTCATTGTCTATTATTTTTACAGTTAGATTTGTGAAATCAGTGGTTGAAGATTTATGTAAGACTTACTCGTATATATATAGATTCTTACTTCGTAAATCAATTCTAAATTTGAAAATCTTTTCTATAAAGTTTTACTGCTTGTATGGCTTCTATAATTTCATCTCATGGTCGTTTTCTTTATATATATTTTTTCCCTTTGTTATCTGAATTAAGGTTGATCTGCTCAAGAACAAGTTTGGATTTGATGAGGCTTTTAACTATAAGGAAGAGCATGACTTGAATGCAGCCCTTAAAAGGTCAGTACATTATTTAATCCCCTTGACAAGTTCCAGAATTCATGTCCAATCCCAAGAAAGTACTAATACAATCATTTTTTTCTGGGTTACTGTCCCAGATACTTTCCTGAAGGCATTGATATTTACTTTGAAAACGTTGGGGGAAAAATGCTAGACGCTGTACTTCTCAACATGAGAGTTCATGGCCGCATCGCTGCCTGTGGGATGATCTCACAATACAATGCTGACAAGCCTGAAGGTGTAAGCAATTTGATGAACATTGTGTATAAGAGGGTCCGTGTGGAAGGATTTCTAGTCCTTGATTACTTACAGCAATATTCCAAGTTTCTGGACACAGTTATCCCTTACATCAAAGAGGGAAAGATAACATATGTGGAGGATATTGCAGAAGGTCTGGAGAGTGGCCCTGCTGCTCTTGTAGGACTCTTTAATGGCCGGAATGTGGGAAAACAGGTTGTCGCGGTTTCAAGGGAGTAATCAGCCAACCACTGTTAGCCCAAGTGTTTGCACCATTTATGCGAATGGGTGTATTTTCCTTCTGGAATAATAGGCAAATAAGCCCACGTAATTATTTGTTTTTGGTCTGTACCCTATGGTGCGCATTGCCTTGAATTTGTAAGGCTCTTTCGTTTTAAACAACCTATAAATAATAGATATTTTAAAGGTGAGATTATTATTTATAATTCAAACATGATTAACTGTTTAGACATTAACAAATAATTGTATACGAATCAAAAAATCAAAATGGCTAATTCACACGGCCCATTGGGATGACTGGGCTCATGGTTCTTTTTCAGATTTAATAAAGCAATTGTATGATTCAAGCTGTAAGGGAATGGAAGAAATAACTCAATAGGGAGAATTAACATAGTCAATAATATGATATATTATTATATAACTAATACTTTTTATTTAAGAATCTACTCATAATATTATATATATCTATTTATTTAAATTATATTACACTTATTTAATGACATATTATAATTATAAACTTATAATTCTTCGACATATTCTAATTATAGTATTGCTATTTCAATAATAAACTTTATGAGCTGGTAATTACTATTTGTAAAATTTTAATTTAGCAATTGTTTTTTGTAAGGAGCAATTTCTTTTTATGGAAGAATAAAGAACAATTATTAAGCAATAATTGTGGCTTTTTCTCCTGAAAAAAAAGGTGAAAATTTTAATTTAAAAAAGTTTTGATTTTTAATTTAAAATGGACTAATAAAAAATTAACATATGATATTTACTATTTAAATAAAGGAAAAAGTATTTGTTAACTATACCTTTAAAAAATTAGAACGAAAAGAGTTATTTTAATATATTTTCATTAAAAAGATTAAAATAACTTATTTTTAAATCATAAATGGGTTTGTTTTGATTTTTTCTCTTATCAAGTATATTTGAGTTTAAAAAAACAAGGGGAGATGGAAGAATTTTTTTCTATTTAGTTATTAATAAAATTAGAAAAAAAAGAAAAGGAAAAATTTTCTATTCTTTTATTTTTTTAAATTTATTTATTTATCTAAATAAAGAGAAGAAGGAGAAATGAGAGGATACAATTTCCTTTTCTTCCCTTCTCCTCCCTCCATTTTCATTTTCTTCAAATTAAATATTCTGTTAGAGTTTTAATGAAACTATGTTATTTTAAAGTAAAATTTTCTTAATCTTTTAACAATCTAACAAAACAACTAATAATCTCTAAAACAATAGTCAACGTGACTTTTGAACATGGAAGGTTTGCCTCTTGTCCTGTGGTCAATTTTTTTTTTACTAATTTTCTTTCGGATTATCCTCTCATAAGCATATAAGCATAAGAGAACTAGCACTAATTGAAAGCAAATTAAAATTAAAAGAGTCAAATCTTTTCCTAAGATTTCTCCTTAAAAAACCAGTTGCACCCTGATTTTTTTGCTAAGAAAATGATAGCCACAGCCTCCGCCATAACCGCCCACCGCCCCTACGCGTCAGGCCCAGGAGATCCATTGCCACATAGATCCGATGGCTAGTACAAGGAAACTCTGCCCTCTGCCCCATAGTCTCCTCCACATCCCAAGCATGGAAACCAAAGAAGCTTTCTATCATCAACACCAACGTCTACAGACTCTAACTATAACCATTCACCATCGGTAACACCCAACAGAAATCGAGTGTCAAGGCAGGACCATCAATGCTCACCTCCTTCAAAGCCTCCTTTGAAAACAATCCCTCATCACCTCCCACTAAGGAGAGAAAAATCATAGCCTCTCATCCAAGAGAGAAAAATTGCCGGGACCAAACCGAAGAATGAAAAATCATCCTGTGGTCAGTTTTAGTCTTCACAAAACTTCTAAATCCACCTCTTAAACAGAGGACAAGAATAAATTTATCTTTTAAAAATTACAAAAATAAATTATATATATATATATTTTTTTTACCAGGTAAATGGTTAGGAAGTTAGTAGAGTTAGTTTGTTAGCAGCTGGAATTTTTTCAGGAAAGTGAAACTTTCACTCCCTCATTTGAGGCGCGCGACCATTAAGTCGCAAGTTGGTGGAGTTCACGGCGGTGGCAGAGTTCGAAACCCTGATTTCCGCCTCACCCAAACCCTAAAGTTTGGGGGTCAACCAATTGGGCCACAGGTCCGGTTGGCAAATAAATTATATTTTTAAAT